TAGATAACTTACCAATTAGTGTTAATCTCTCGATTGTTATGAGAAAAGCGCATTAATATATTCATTTTGTCGTTAAATGTGACGAGCGCAAAAGATGGGTTCATATGTATTTCATGCAGAAACAATTTGCTATGTCAAAAAAAAAGCAATATTCAGTTTAATCATTTCTTAGTCGGATAGAATGATGAGTTTTTTGTCCGTGGTATTCAAACAATGTAAATAAATTCTTATAATTTTTTTCTGTGTTACGTAACTATTATTAATTGTTTTTATTTCCATCTTGTTTTGGTTGTCCAAGGGTGAAGTCAATAGGGAAGATGACACTGAGCAATAATGTATCGAGTTGAGGAAAATTCATAGCTGAAGAATGTGTGTCAGACACATGCTGTTTCTTTGATCAGATGAGTCAAATGGTTTATTTATTTTGTCATCATTGTTCACATAAGGTGTGTAATGAATTCTTATGTTGGTCATGAATGTATTTGTGAGTATTCTTAAGAGAACTAGTGTGACGAATATTCAAAAGATTATCTTATTGTTCATTAATGCCGCATCTGAATGCTAAAAACTTGTGACAAAAACATCATCAATAAACAACTAGTAAAACTTGTTGACGATTACGAACGAAATCTCAATTGAATGCCATTGATCAATGAAATAACGATGAGGTTGTCGAGATAAAATTCATAGACGGTTGAAAACACTTTGATTATAAAAACTGTTGCTGTAGCACATGAAGCTGAAAGATTATTTTTGCAAAATCGCACAAAATAGATTAAACTCCATAAACAACGCATTACGCTGAATTATCGCTCAAAAAACTATCTTAATCAAGTTTTTTGTTATTTTATGAAATAGTTCTAGAGACAACATATGCTCATCTGATGCAAATTTAATTTCATATCAATCACAAATAATGCTTTTTATTGTCATTGAGAAAGACTCACGCCTTTTGAAAATGCATGTTGCAACGAACATATCATTTAGCAATTACATACTGAGACCAAAATTATTCCTTACTAATTCTCTTTCTTTTTTCAGCTTCAAATATTCATAGACAAACTCATCATGATAATGGCCCTCTCCATACAAAACATTTGCTCTGAAAAATTTCTGCATAACATTTAGTACTCACTTCATTTTGAAGCTTCTCAATCTACAACAGTTTTCTAATCCACTGGAAGCGACACATATTTACTTGACTGTGAATACATTCGAATTTTTATTTTTGTTAAAAAATGCTGAATACAATTTATTATTACAAATCAAAACTTTGTTCATCATCATCATCATTATAAAAATGTCTCGAACGAACACGTTCACGTAACAATTCTACATCACAAACATATTCAGATGGAACTTTTGAACATACTAAGTCATTTGATATAACTGTTACAAGTTTATTTTTATTCCACATTGATAATTCATTTCTTGTTTCATATAAGATAACAAAACTACCTTGTTGCATTGAAAAATGACAACCACATTTACATTCATAATTATTAAGAACAAGTAGTAATCGATAATGATGACATAATTTAGCAAAATATTGCTTTCGATTAATTGAATCTGATAGTTTTGTTTGAATAGGTAAAGAAAGTGGAGATGAAACTGAAGAAAGACAAGTACGAAAAAGATGACGACATTTAGACATAGATTTATTATTTGATAGAAGTTGTGATCGACGCCGTGGTGGAGGAGGAGGGGGAGGTGGTGAGAAAATAGTTTGATCATTATGAAGAAAAGCTATAATTGATGATCGACATCGAGGTGCAGCTGAAGGTAAATCTTTTGCTTCAAGAATTGTTCGAGAAGCATATGTTGACGAATTACTTGATGCTATAGATGATATTGAACAAAGAGAAGTTGATGATTGCATGACTATCTAAACAATGTGACACAATAAATATAGTATTTTCTAAAGATGAATTGTTCACTGAGCTATTCAAGTATTCACTATATGCATTCTTACCGATGTGTGAGTGTGCGTGTTTTATTCGATTGAATAAAAAAATCAATAAATGTATAAGAGATGAATGTGATTTTGCTTATATTTATAGATGAAGATTGTATAGAAGAGAGAAACAAATGAAAGTGTTGGCTAATGTTAATGAATACTAAACGACTTACATCAATTGCATCCAATCAATTACACATTGACTAATTTGTATGTTCTCTTTATTCAATAAACGAATCAATCGATACTTCTGAAGATAGTTGTTTTTTTTT